TACCAGTATCCTACAGCATCTCCAGAGAAGGAAAATCATGAAGAGACCCAGTAGCTGCACGCACACCATGTAAGTGGCTTTTAAAGACCTATTCTTCTCTCATTTCAAATCTTTTCTGCTCCCTATCAATCATGCCCTTTTCAAAGTGGCTCAGATGATCCGCAGCAGTCCTTATGTGCTGATGTATAGCTTTAGACCAAACCCACGCAGTAAAACACATCTCATATATCAACACACACACACACACACATATATATACACACATACCTACCCCTCAACACACACACAATGTTGAGGCAACTACCAAGGACTATATTAGGAATATAATTTTGAGAAAGGGTAGTTCCACAGGAAGCTTCTAAAATAGGTAGGAAGTGATCCAAACCCGATGGAAGTACAGTAGTGTTTTGTCTAAATGTCAGTCTTCTGCCAGACTCAGTTCAAAGATAACTGTCACAGAATTCACTGCATTAGAGTTACTCATTCAGAGTATACCGGTTCTTATAACTTTCAAAAATTACTGACTCACTGTTTTCCCAGCTCTCAGTACAACAGAATCCAATCAGAGGAAGGGCGGGTAAGAAGAAATTAGAAAGGAAGGAAAAGAAGGATACAATCTTAACAGCGGAAAGAGACAGTGAACCAACCTGGAGACAGAAAATGGAAAAATTTAAATTTTATGTGTGGAATTTTATTACTAATGAAATTCAAAAAAGGACTGTTATAGAACATAAGAAAAGGTTAAATTATGTATAAGAAGGCAGCAAAGAATATATTAACATTTTTATTAGAACTGTTGCTATTTTGTAAGTTTTTTAGCATTGAATAGAAAAATTTCCAGCACTTGGTTTTCCCTATAAATAACAATTACTGTATCAAGCAGATTATAAGGTTTAAATATCTTAAGTATATATGTGTGTACACACACACGCACACACACACACAGTTTAGTAATGTGGCTGGATATACTGGAATGAAATTGTTGACAAACATTTCTAGGTGTTAAAGGCTGTCCTTGATACTGGAGGAGACACTTAACTGACAAAGTACCTAACCTAAAAGACCTTAATATTTTGAGGAAGAGACATCTGAAACAACATGAAAATCAACATAAAATATGCACAATATAGAATGATTAAAATCTCCATCCCACCTTATACAGTAAAAAAGACATGTGTTCAGTCCTAGCCCTGATCCTTTACTGTACAGTGTTTACGATGCACAGTAAACCAATATAGTGAAAAAACTGTCCTGTCATACTTTGTAGTTCGAAAAATTTTAAGTCATTCCTATTATAAACGAGCACCTGTTGGGAAGATGATATTAAGAGACTTGATATAAAGAGGATGAGAAGGAATATCAGTCTCTGGGAAGAATATGAGAAACAGAGCAAACAGAAGATTAAGAAATGTAGGGTTTTTGTTGAGTTTTTTTTTTTTTTTTTTTGGGAGAGGAGACATGTTCCTCAAACATTTCCTTGCCAAGGAAGTCAGTTTCTCTTGTTTCCCTCTCAGGTATGGTATTATGAAGTCCTGCTGGCGCTGGAGTGAGGACAGCCGCCCCTCACCTAGAGAGCTACACTTGCGCCTAGAAGATGCCACTACAACTGCAGATGACAAGGCTGTGTTGCAAGTACCAGAGTTAGTGGTTCCTGAACTGTACGCAGCTGTGGCTGGCATCCGAGTAGAGAGCCTCTCCTACAGCTACAGCATCCTTTGAAGATCCGCAGGCAAGAAAACTTTAGGGGTGATTATGTTCTTCGAATCAATTCCTCCAAGAACAGATAATGGACTTTCTAGTGGGACATAAAAGCAGAAATGGGACATGGATCCCGGATGTTCCTTTACACATTTCCATGGATATCTGAAATGATGCTGAATGAGGCTCTACATACCATATACCCTGAGCTGAGAAAAACTGTCAGTCTCGTTTCCACTGTCTCAGTCCTAGGACCCTGGGTAGAAGTGGGGGACAGTGTCATTCAAGGAGGTTTTAGAAATCTGCAATGTTTGTTGAGGCATGGCACAAACAAGTTGGTCCCTCACATCCTAGCCTAGTTTCCCCCTGCACCATTTTTTTATCTAGACTATTACGAGGTCCAGATAATTTGGGATAAAATGAGAGAACAGAAATCCAATAAAGGAGTTGAAAAGAGAGAAAATTCAAGGTTCTACTTGCTCAGGATTATAGGTGTGGACAAAGACCTCCTTCAAAGAGAAGGTGGAAGGACATAAAGTTCTTCAGTCCAGGTCCCTCTGTGTACAGTTAGAGGAGAACTATAAAGGAAAACTTCTGAGTTTCCCCTTGGAGATAGGTAAGAGAAAGATGGTTCCCTTTTATCTCATTCTGAGACAGGTAAACCCTGCTTGGTACTACTTTGAATTACAAGCTGCAGGAGTCATTTCATGATTAAGAACATTCAAAGAGTATTGTTCATCAGGCTAGCTTCCCAGTTCCTAGTAGACTAAGAAGACTAAGCCTAGAGAGTCAAAGTTAGATCAATAATGAGAATGTGTACACGTGCATGCACGTGCCTGGATGTGTGTAAAAGAGGAAATGCAAAAACCAAGCAGGAAGGCTTACTAGCTCAGATGATTTTTAACACAGCCCAGAAAAGAATGTAATCTGATACAGGATGGTAGCTTATAATTTTCAATTATGCATTTGTGTTCTATGAAACTTAACTCATTAAATTAATATTTATTGAGTGAAAGTAGGTTTTCTGGTATACAGCTGCCAAAATCTCTACAATAGGGAGAATAAAAGTAAATAAATGGAATTTAATGGCAACAGAAAAATTAAAGAGACAACCCAAATTGTCAGAAAAGTGATTATGTGTAAAATGAGGATAATTCCTACCTCACAGGGTTGTTGTGAGGACTGATTGAGAGTATGTATTTGTACAGTATCCGGCACATAATATGTGTTCAATAAATGTTAGTTTTTTTTCTTTTGCCCTTCCTAATCGAGGACCTTTCATATCTTTTTCACTTAAAATCTACTGTGGCCAAGAAGAGAACCTTGGTCTGTTGACACTGCAAGGCAGGACATGCCTAAGATGATGGTATGCTACAAACACTACGTGACTAAAATGATGAAGTCATCATTTTTGTGTGAGCTTTTAGATGATGATAGTAGTCCCCTACTATTTCACAATATTGAAACTATCATGATGAGGGAAGTCTTGTTGATCATGGTGATCTGTGATTTTAAAGAACACTCTGGGTACTCTGGAAGGGACATCTAAGGCTGCTGTAGGAAAGAGGACTGGTAGTTAAAAAGGTTATAGAAGTTGGAATCCTAGTAAGTGATAGAAGTTGGAGTCATAATGAGTCAGCTAAACGAAGAATACTTCTTGCTGCTGTGGGAATACCACAATGACCAGTCAGGATTTAAATGGGTAGTAAGAGGCAGTAGGAAGAAGGGAGGTAGAGTGGCTTCACACAAAACGATGAAGTCCTATGGAATCCCACTGTTGCCTCTCCGTTGTTCATTTAAATCCAATTACAAAGCATTTACTTATTTATTTGACTATTTTAAAAAATTGAGTGTTAAGGCTCACTGTGCCAGAGACTGGGCTAGGCGTTGAATAAAAGAAACAAGGAGCTTTTGATTAAAGTCTAGAAGGTAAGAGACATTATCTATTTATTTGTGTGGGTACTTGTGTGTTACAAATTGTGTTAAGTGCTATAAAGAAAAAGTATAGGATAGTAAAGGAAATAAGAAATGAAGAGCTCCTTGAAGAGAAAATGGAATTTAACCAAAGATCTTAGGGATGGGTAAGTAAGCCAGACAAAGAGTAAGAAGAGCTTTCCATCAGTAGAATATATATGTGAAAACTCTGAAGCAAGAAAAAGCATAGTCTGTTTGAAGAACTGCAAGGA